AAAGGAAAACAGAGGAGAATGCAGTCTGAATAGCAATGCTAGCGCTTGAAGCCGCTAGAACTGGCTGTTCCATCCTGCAGCGCGGGCGTTCCAAGCTCGTAGCGAGGAGACGTGCTGCCGGGGAAGGCAGCTCGCTTGCTCTTCACAAAGGAGCCACCTGAAGGCCACGTGGCGAGAAGACAGCAGTATCACACGACCAGACCTAGTACCCTTAACAGTGTTACGGAGCTCCTGCCACATCTATGGCAGAGCACACGTGTCATTGTAAAACATCTTCTGTACCACCTCTCAAAAATTGCAGCAAATCACACTCGAGTAATTCATCTTGAAAGGATCTTATCGGTAGATCAATAATAGGCTAATTATAATAGATAAATTAATAGGCTAGAAATTTTCTCTGACATCAGGGCTACGGTTTGAAAAATGCTGAAATCTTAAAGAGGTTTTAAGATCTGGCCCGTACTGGAGACCCCAGAAATAGTGGCTGGTTTCCTTAACAAGCCAAACAAGAGACAACGAGGTGTCACGGTCATGAGTGGGTATGTTATGTACTAGGAAACCTGCAGTAATGCTAACCATGACTTACAAGCTGTTACCCTGTGTACTGTACTAATCTCAAATGTTAGGGACATATGTTTGAAAGAGGGGTGATCCTCCAGCGCTAGCAGAAGCAAGATCTAGACCGACCAGGAATAGAAATAACTCACACCTGGCAAACTGACTTCTCTTGTCCCAAAACACGCACATCATTTCTGCTCACACTAATTAGGTGTAGGATAACTCTAAAAGTCTTCCTTCTGCATTGACTTGAAGAAGCACTATGCAGTTACTGCAGGTAAGGATTCACGGAAAAAAAAAAAAAAGCCCTGTATTTCATACTTGAGTTCCTGAAATTTATTGTTTTGAGCTCATTGCCCCACAATGTTTATGGAACATGATTGTGCATTTACACAGAATCTAGAGCAGTAGGGTCTCAGGCAGGACTGGCAACCAGGAAAACCACTTCAGGAATAACAGTTGTCATGGCCTTCACCACCACTATCACTAAGTTATCATTTTTTTTTTCATTTCAAGACAAGTTTCTTGATTTTAGAAGCAACACGATCCTGTAGATGAGCTGAAGAGATCTTGCTGAGCCCACCTGCTGAGGTGAGTTTGTAAGACAGTAGACTTCTTTTAAGTACACCAGCACCAACATGGCAAAAGACAAAATTGTAAATGTGGTATAAATTTTGCTACTGTTTTTAAGCAAGATTGGCTTTGAAGGTAAGTACAGATAGAAGGCTCAGGGTCTCTCCCCTGGTGGTGATTTTCCAATTGAGTTCTCAACTGGCGAGAAAAACTTGCCTGGTACCTTTGTTTTCAAAATCATCCTACTGATATTTCTCTGCCACTAGCTATTACATCTCAAAACTAAAAACATGATTCATCTTCTCTCAGCAACCCTATACATCAAATGGAATAGCCAGAAGCACTCTGGCAAAGGGGTCAGGGGCTAGATCCTTCTCTGTATGCACAATTTGAAACTGTGTGACTCTCAGGAAAGGCAATGATAAAACCATTTATGCAGCAATTTGAAAACTGAAGGCAAAAGGCTTGTCAGTACCCTTCAGCTACAGGCACTGCAGGCATCTGCCATATAGCTTAAATCCCTGCTTCCTCCTTGAAGGATGGGACTGCAATTTGACCTCCTGTACAGGCTTGAATTTCACACCCAGTTCTGCAGCAGCTGAAATCTTGCTGAATCCCACTGGGGTATTATTGGGGTTGAGACTGGACAGTAGTACATCCTAACAAATAAGCAGAATGCTTTAAGAGAAGAAAACAAAGAAACAACCTACTCTTTCTCAGTATCTCCCAGACAAAAATTTGGCGTGGTAGGTAAGAACTCTGCCTGAAGTAATGTTAAATTTCTTTAGGCAAACTTAGTCCTTTAAAGCCAAGTGAAGTCAATGGACATCTTCCTAAGCAAAAATTTTTGTAGCTGACTCATATAAAGAGCAGATTCTCCTCACTTACATTCACCTTCCTGTCTCCTTTTTGGTGCAAAAGCCCTTCTCCTCTAACTCCACCTGGGCAACTTTTGTCCCTTGTAACGTCAATAACATCACAGAAAAATGCAGAATGGATTCGGACAAAATGACCGACTAGTCATTGCACCACACAAGGAGTAGTGGGGCCAGACGTTTGATAGCAATCATTTCTCCTCGAGCTACCTAAATGGATGAACTGGATTGTGTATGATGTTGTAGGAACACTTTTTAAAATTCTGTCTGCAAACACAGGCACAATCTTTTCCAAAAATGATGGGCCTCAGTACAAAGCCAAAAGGTGTTGTAGAAAATCTAGAGCTTTTAAGACAGGCCAACATAATCCAAATCTATTTTCTTTCAGAGAGAGATCAAAACTGAGAAAAAATGCTCAGGCTAGGACGTGTCTTCTGCTATTTCAGGCAATAGCAGTTTTTGACAGTAACTTTTCTGGGATCATGTTTAGACTCACAATGTGTTTGTAGAAAGACAGTTCAATAGCCAAATGTAGCTATGTCCATGGGCCACTATGTTATTATGAATAACAACAAAAAATCATTGTGGCTATTAGCAACGAACTTTCTACAAGAGTTTAATGTTGTTTTGGTGCTGGGAATATTTGATGTTTTTAAATAGTACATCAAAAATAAAGGAAATATAACTAACAAAAAACAAACTTTTCCTTTCTGCTGCTAATGAATGTTTAGATATAAAGACTGTAATCTGCAACCTTCAAGACAAAATACTTGGTTTACAATAAGCTTGTGCCAAACAACAGCAGAATATTTCCATGTTTAAACATGTATGGTGATTATGACCAAATCCTCAGGCTTCTTTTTAACAGTGATATCAGTAAATACAGCCTTTCTTCTTGTTTGTACATGACAATGTACTGTATTTCCATGGACATCAAATTCCTAACGTCCAAAAAGGAATGGGCCAGATATCCCATCTTGTTAATAATCTAGAAACATCTGCAAACTAGAAAATGATTCCTCTCTGAGGAAGACAACCCAGCATCACCTGGGCACCAGGCTTTCTCAGAAGGAAGGCTTTTTATGTTCACATTTCAGGTGTGGTTTCTTTTGATGAGTTTATCTGCTTTTGTGGGGTTGTCTGATCATAAGGCATTGCTTCACTGAAATAACATAAATATTTACTTGGTACCCTACATCAGAGGTGTTTTTTAAAGAGTATTTCACCGTTTATAGTCTTCAAATAAAATATAAAATTAGCTGTAGCAGATTACTGGCATTAGCATCCAAGAAACACATGGACTATAAAGGATTTGATGTCACAATGATTTGTGGACATTTTTAATACGTATCATAATAGAATGTGCAGCCTCCATAATCTGGACCAGACTTCCGACTGACCAGATCCATTTTAGACCAGCCAGAGCAGCTACAAAAGTGAGCTCTGTGCAATGGCCTCCCTATTGGCCTTGGCTGGGACATGAGTGAGCATGGCAGCTGATGGGACAGGCGACCCGCCTCATGAACTCACTCCCAAGAAACCTAGGCACCTGGGACAGACGCAGGTAGGAATGAAGCCTTCTCTCGTCAACTGACTGGTCCCAGCAATGTGTGCATCACCTGTGGCCCAGCCTTTGCTGGTCTCTGGCTTCATGGCGTGACACCATGCAGTGTGGTACCTAACTGAGCAACTGCTACAGTACAGTCCAGGAGGACGTAGTAACTCAGGTTCCCCAAAGAGATCTATCACTGTTGCAACACACTTTGACATCCCAATTTTCTCAGGCCATGAGAGCTACCGTTACTGCCCCACAGCTTTCTGAGGCTGCGCACCAGACTGCTGGGGCCAGAGGCACGGGTTATCCTGCCCTCAGGTCTGCCAAGCACTGCCTCTCTAGACACCTTGGCCTTGGCGACTTGAGCGTGATAGCTCCCCCGCCCACCATTCAAACCTTTCTTTGCCTGTCTCACTCTCATCTTATTTTTACAGCAAATTTTGGCTTTTCTAAAAAAGTGGTAGTTTAAGCATCATCAAAGATGAAGGGTAGAATGCAGTCGGCACCTTTTCTAGCACAGTCCTCCTTGTTGCTATGGCAATGTGTCACAGGAGGCATCAGTCTCAGACAAAATTTAGTTCAGTTGAACTGAGAGTGGTTTTCTTCTTTTTTTGTTTTTTAAATGTTCAGATTGCTATCCACTGGTAACAAAGCCTGTTGAATCTTCCCGTAAGGGCTGTTCAGTCGCGGGTGGCTGTTTGCCAAGGAATAGCAAGCACGACACCCACCATGTCAAAACCAACAGTTTCACTGTATCCTTTCTTTCTGCACAGTGATTCTGTAGTCAGTATATCTATAATTTATCACACTGATGTTCATTAATCTTAGTGGTACTCAAGCACACATGCTAGTAATTCAATTGCCCTTTTTTTTCCTTAATTCTATAAATAACAAGACTACTACAAGAACAGCTGATCAGCTGATTTTATGCAAAGCATGAAAGACACCGGCAACATTCCTTATAGCTACTGCAATGCTTCACCATAGCTTTGTTTCTGTTGTTCTGTAGGGTGGTGGCTGCATGGCACGCAACCAAGCGATGCTTTTATAAGCACTGCCTCAAAGCACCTTTGGGCAACCTGATTATTAGTTCTAGTAAAGGCATTTCCTACCTATTTTTGAGGTATTTCTCTTCATGATATAATCCTAAACAGAAGTTTCTCTGCAAGCTCCCTTACCCTGTTAAATTTCATTGAATAGAGGTGGAGAATCTAACATTGCTAAAACACGAAGATGATGCTAAGTCTTCCCAAATATGAGATAAACAAACCTGTGTGCAGATGAAATCAGAGCCTGTGATTCACATCCAGTGCTAAAATAAAGGTTTTATGTATCTATGTTCTGGCTAATGAGCAATGACACTTTCCATTACTCTTTGGCTCATCGAACTTGCAATTCCCACAAGCAGAGCCCCCCTGACAAATGTGGTCATGGCTTACCTCTTGCAGAGAGCTTTCTTGCTGAAACATGACTCACCGAAGATAGACTTCTTCCTTCCCACGGTCTCCGATTAGTGAATTGTAATGAGAGGATGGGTGGGCCTGGAGTTCTTCCCTGCTGGTATGTGAAGACACAAGCAGGCATTTGCCCTGGCAGTCTTGGAGGCGCCCTCACGGGGCTTCAAAATGAGGACAACTCTCAAACATGGGCTAGATATTAAGTTTCTCACAGGTGGGACAGAAGGACAGATTCCCAAAATTTCTGAACCCCCCTGGCCCTGCAAAAGGACTGCTGACAGCGTTTGCCTCAAAGCAGCACTCTTTCCAATGGCCTGGTGGCTCTATGAGAGATTTTAAACTCTTTTGCAGTCAGAAAACTTCCTGTGTTTGCATGGCCTGGCTTACTCAGTAAATGCTGGCAAATATTTCAGGTAAGACTTCCCTCCCATCTGTAGAGAAACAAAAGTATTAGTATAAAGTACTAAAGTTCAAATATGGGCCAATAAATGGCTGCATGGGCCTTCCTAGTATGCCTCCTGCTGAATTACAGTCACATGTAGATGCATCCTAATGTTGCGAAGAGGGTTGTACTCTCCTCTCTCCCCTCAGGATTCCGCACATTTCAGCCTCTTATCATTCCATGTCTTCTTCGCCAGTGCACTACATTTCCTGTCTGCCAGTTCAGGTTTAAAGCACTCTGCATGCTTCCTTTCCCCAAGGGCAAGGGAGCATTACTGTGACGAGGAGTCAGAAAGTCTAGAAATCCCCCTGAGAACTTCACCGTACTGCAGTCTAGCAGAAATCCTAACTTGGAAATGACTCAAAGGACGGAAAGCTTTCTCCTTGTTATCCACCCACCTGTTCTGCCAAGGCGGGAGGATCCAATATCAGGTAGGCGTGCTTTATGGGCAGAATGCAAGACCATGAAAACAAACATGGTCTAGCGATTAAAGTACAGGCTGAAGAGCTCAGCACAGAGCAAGAGGAAGAGGGCTCTGAGAGGACGAGTGGGAGCTGGCTCCTGTTCCTGGCCACTGACTTGCTGTGTGACCTGGAACAAATCCCATCTCCTTTCTGTGCCTGCTTTTTTCTTTTAATATGTCAAGCAGCATGCTATCCCTTACCTAGTTCCCAGGCAGAGGAGAAAGGCAGTCTCATTACTATTTCCCATACTGCAATTACTCTTGGCAGCCACAGCAGAGGTCAGATCCCTTTGCTAGGACATGTACATGGTGAGAGGCCTTGTCCTTAAGACTGGAGAGGCAGAGGAAAAAGCAGCCCCATGCTACAAAACAGAGTTTGAGAGAGACCGTGTACCTTTGCAGAAGTCACTGGCACAGCTGGGAACAGGACTGTCAGCATTTCAGTCAAAATCCAGTCTTTTTAACCATTTGTCTCCTTGGAGGCAGTATCATTTGCTACTTGCTGTTGATTTCTGTTATTTCTGGGAGCTCAGTCCTCTCAGGCTATGGGACATAGGCCAAACAAGAGACCCGAGAAACAGAAATTCTTAGAACCTTCTGGCATATGAAATGTGTTGGTGTTTTTATTTACTGTCTGGGGGGGGGGGAAAAAAAAAAAAAAGAAGTGAGAGCACAAACAAATTGTTTTGCCATAGAACAAGGCTATGGCATGATTTTTCATCTCTTCCTCCAGTTTCAAGGTGCTTTCTTAGTATATTGGGCAACTTAAGCAAGGTGCAGCAGACTCACTTTGGAGCTAGCTATCAGGAGGTGATATCAGAGAAGTGACAGCTTATAAGAAAATATCTTTCGCTGTACAGCCTTTGCAAGACCCAGGGGATCAGAGACAGCCAGATGCCTTTGGAAATCATGCAACCATTGCAACAAGAGTGGGTTGAAAGCATTTTAAAATGAAAGACTGACCAAAAAGAGAGTATTTGCTATTTTGGAGCAAGAGAAATGTCAAGACTTGGACAGAAAGCTACAGGTCACAAATGATGATCAAGGTATAGTTCCAAAGGGAACACTGCTGTTTACATACACATGTAAGGAGATGAGAAATGCTGAAAATGGACTCACTTCCACTCTTACCCTGTCTTGCAGAGTCATTCCGTCAGGCTGTGTGCTTAACTCTTCTTTGCAGTCCCAGATGATGCATTCTTTGCAGTGGGTATTGAAAGGATTAGTCCTCTTGTCAGAATCTACTAGCACTTGGAAATTCTGCCTGAGTTAGAGCTGAAACACTATTCCAAGACCTGCAACAGCCACACCAGCATAGGAGAGGTGGAAAGGTATTTGGAAATTTTACAGCAGTGAGAATAATGCTTCTGGCAAACTGGATGGTCAGAAATGATTACTGCTTTAAAGAATCAGAGGAACGCACCTCTTAGGTCTATATTTATTTGCCAATAAACAAGCACTTGCCAAGTTGTATAGGACCTGGAAGAACTTGTGCCTCTCCTGTACCCTGCTAGAGAATAACTTCTTGGACAATATCCCCAAAGCTGTAGATGCCGGGAGTGGCCATGATTAAACTGGAAGGTGCTTACTTGTACTAACCATCATTAGAAACACCTGTAAGAAGAGGAGGACCATCAGTGGAGTAGACAGAGAATTGGGAGGGCTCAGCCTACTGTTGATGACCCAGTTAACACTCCACACCCTAAACATTTCAAATACTTCATGAGTAACTCCCTACACTGCCCGAGCTTGGCATTTTTATCTTCACAGAGGTGCTGATTTCAGGACGCTTTGTTTTCTTCTCTTTGGTTATCAGGGGAAAAAGTATAGCTGTCTTTTGTGGGTTGAGATTGGTGCAAGTGTTACAAAACCATGACAGCGTTAGGTAGTTGTAATGCTTAGTGCCTGCGTTGTTACCAGTTTCAGCAAAGAGACTACAGAGCTATAGTCATGTTGGTTGTGAGGAAGTTTGTAAGGAAGTTCAGGAGGTCTCTGGTCCAATCCTCCATTAGGCAAACTGGGACAAGATTCATAGTAGTGAAACTGCATAAATTACTCCACTGCCAAGCCAGTTTGCTTCTGTCATTACTAGAAAGCAGCCTTGAGAGAAAAATAGAACTGGAAGCCCTTCTACTCAAGAAAAACTATACAGTGGATGGAAATGCTCTGCAATATCTCAGACCATCTTTGTTTGCATCTGGGAATTACAGTCATGGCAAAAAAACAGCGCCCTAACTGTTTAAATGAAGGGGGCACTTAACCGAGTGAAGTGCCAACGTCTTTGGGTGGCCTGTAGAATTAAAAGCCCTCCTTAATCCATCCTCTATCATGAATTTATGAAGCAAATGAAGTTGTACAAGTGATTCAAAGCCACCCATCTCAAAATATAGGCTGCACACATGCTATCGGGCAGACAGAAAGCTGTACTTTGCAGTGCATTAATTTATCTCCATAATAAAAGTGAAGTCAGAAGGGACTCAGCAACAATGGTTTATTGCCATTTCTTTAGTTATTTCATGGTGTGTGCTATAATGAAGCTCAAATTCATGTGGGGGGGGATTATAGGGCATGATTCCCTGCAGTAACAAGCTTTGATGACTGCACATGCTCCTTCCTATCCTATGTTTCTAAACAAAACCATGCAAAATCTCCTTGTGAAGAGGTCTCTAGGAGGAGGTTGTTTTTCCAAAGTAAGTATGACAGTGGGAGTTATTCTCTGGTTTTGTATCCTGAACTAAGAATAAGCTCATAGAGCTAGAGCTCCTCTTCCATTTGAGAAAGGGTGTACATGATTTTACTGAGAATCTCAATTTAATAAGCTCATTTCATATTTGTGATTGCGATATATGAGAGTGAGCCTCTTCGTACAAACCTGTGCTGTAGCGTGTGGCTCAGGGTTGAGACTCAGGTTTAACCAAAACAGCACCAGCTGCCCATCTATAGAAAGGCTCCTTGGTTGGCAACAAGCAGTGGGAGTTTTTATAACACATCCCAGGTACCTGTGGGTACCTGTCAGGCCCTAGAGCCTTTCAAAGCAGACTGGATGTGCATAAACAAGTCTCTAATCCCAACAGGCCTTCACTGTGCAGGATCTTCAGTGATTTTTTCATGAGAGTAAAGTTCCCTGCACTTCACTCTCAACACTCCCGAGCAAAGTCAACATCTTGTCAGCATCACATAGTGTGCTCAGTCCAGCCTGTATTAATTAATACACAGCAGATTTGACTTCACATGCTTAAACACCATAGACTATGGATTTGGACACAAATGGTTCTTCAGACTTTTCTGGGAAAAAAACTTAGCCTAAATATTCAGATACCTTATTTCTCACTTTTGCTCTGAGCCCTTCCTTCTCACTGCTACTTCCTCGTCTCTGCTGCCAAAGTATGGAGAAACGGTGTGAATTTATCCAACAGTCTTGCTAGTGATATTCAACAAATTCCTCCATGGAGAACCCTGCCCACAACTCCTCATTGTGCTTGTTCACTCCTCTCCCAGCAGCTGCCAACACAGAGTCTGCTGACCCAGTTCCTCTGTGAGATTTTAATCTTGTGTTAGTTCATAGGAAAACCTCCCCAGTGCCTCACAAAGTGGGATACCAAAATATCCATAGCATGTGTTTGCAGAAGGGAGCACATGCATGAGAACTACAGCAGGATCTGAGGCTGACTGTTGATGCACCATATCTCTAAGTACAAGGTAAATACGGAGTCAGCAGATGATTTGATGCTCAACAGGCAGGTTGTTTGGTTCTGACAGGGATTTGATTCATTAGTTGCAATGCTTGCTGTAGCAAGACCAAGGGCAGAGAGAGGCAGAGGATGGGAGAAGAGAAGGGAAAATGAGCCTTGGTTTTCCCAGTGGTTACTGGGGAATGCATGTGGGGTGTTCAGCTCATTGCCCTGTTTGTTCCTTTTCCTGCAAGACTTTCTGGGCAAGCCTCCATGAAGGAAAAGAAGGGACAGTTGCAGTCAGGATTTGTAATTGTAATTCTTGACAGCACCTGCTTAGTTATTGCCATTGCTTGTCTCCAAAGTAACTGATAGTTTCTGTGTGGCTCAAAAGCAAGGTTGCCTGGCTGGCAGAGCAGTGCCTCATCCAAAGTCTCGGTATTTTTCTTGTGCTCTTCCAAAAAATAAAGAAGCAAAAATTCAGGAGTCTACGCTGTGGAAGCAAATACTTGTTTCACATAATATGCAGTGAAACTATGGAATTCCTCAAAGTAGGCCTTTGCGAATGTCCAGGATGCAGCAAGGGAACAGAATATCCACTTGTCAGAAATAATATTGCTGCATATGGGAAGGGGTATTAACTTTCTTGCTTTAAAACACGCCCTAATTTCTAACAGCTAGGAGGACATTCAATGTGTAGTATCTATTCTGTTTTTTTTTTTTCCCCCTTTTCTTCCTAAAACAAGATTCTTGCACTTCTTTGCAGCATGCGGAAGATGTAGGCTGGGCTGGCTTTAGTGGCTCTTTTGTTTGAAAAGAGCCAACCTTCCCCCTCAAAAAAAAAATTACCATTTCTTCAAATAATGTTATGTTTTTGTAGAAGAAAAAAAAAACACTAGTAGAATGGTCTGAAAGATCAGCATTGAATACTCTGCACAGCCCTGCAGAAAGCTGATATTTAGGGATCAATTAACCTGTCACACCATCAGCACCATCATTTTCAATGCAGTTATGCCTGATTTACCCCAGTGTGAAAGAAGAATCCCATTTCTTGATGGTGGGCAGCTGACATAACCCAAACACTATAGGAAAAGAGCTGCAGAGAAACAAAATTCTGGAAGTCTGGAAGATTAGAAGACAAGCTACATTTCTTCTGTCATTTCTGTGTAAACTTTTTGCCACAGTTTTAGCACAAAATTATCACGGAATCTGCGGGTTAACATCATCTTTTACCCTGTGTTTTGCAAGGTGCACACTGTCATGTTCATCACTGCCTCTCTGACTTGCTTGGGGCAGCCCATTTGCTTGTAGCCCAGGAGATGCCGAGCAGGCTACAGAAGGTAGTCTTAGTGATATCCCTATACTTTGAAATCTGTCATCTGATGGACAGTGGTTTTGGAAAGAAGTGGATGAAGGAATGTTGAAGGCTCTAACATCATCATGGAAAGTCCCTCAAACCTTCATATGGGTTTTGTTCCTGGTGCAGTAATAGTCTAATGTGAATAAGAAGACCATGAAAGCTCAGTATTTGAAGCTGCTGAGATTGCCGACAAAGGTTTTTGACCAAGGAGAAGTTTGTTTACAACAATGGAATCTTAAAACCAAGATTTTAGGACTATATTTCTGTTATTAGATAACCTGCACTATTGGATGCTGCATATAAAGCTGTTTTTCTTTCTCAATCTTGCTTTTTTTCCTCCCTCCCTTACTCCTTTCCCCATCTCATTTGCTGATGTAGATCTCAAATCAGCACACATCAGAAGCTCTCCTGAAAGAAAAGCATATTTTCAGTGTCTAAATATGTTCTGGTAAACAATGAGCCATATCCTAAGCAAAGCAGTAGGGAACATCTTACTGAGAAAACTGCTTATGGAAAAAGAAATGCTCAAGGGCAAGCAAAAAATTGGAAGCTTCTGACAAATGCCTGAAAGGCCCAGCAAGGCATTTTTTGCTGATTAAAGTTTGTAATTATATCAACTTAGCTTCATTCCAGGCCCATTTTTGTGTGTTCTTTGCTCTCACCTGGTATAAACCCTGAAATATATTTTTATAATACAGTGCTCTGCCAGACGCCATTGCTCTTCTGACAGATCTCTCCATCACCTGAACTCATCCTGAGTTTTGCTGAAGTGAATTAATTCGCATTTCCACCTCTCTTCTAATTCCAAGGTTACTTTTTTTTTTTTTTTTTAAACCCACCAGCTCAGCCCTACTGCACAGACAAAAAGGATTAAGACATACTCACCACCAGAAATTAACTCATAATGGCTGTTTAGTTGGTAGAAGATAAGGCTTCAGCTCCTAGCAGCAGTTGCAGTAGTGAGAATAAGTACAAGTTTGACGAACATCAAGAGAAGCAGACAACGTTCACCTCAGCAACGATTACACTTTCCTGTTGGTAGAAAATGTAGGTTATACAGTTAGTGAATTCCTGGGTAAATGCTGGTAGCATTTCTCTAGATTTTGGGGTTCCTCCTCTCACACGTTCTGTTTTAGCTGCAAGCATTGTTTAGATTATGACTGTAGCCTGCCTGCAAAGCAGTCAATAGAGGCTGGTTTGAAAGGATCTAAGTATTCCTAATTAACCTATTACTTTTAATTAGATACCAAAGCCACTTATTTTCTAATCTGAAAAAGGAACATTCTAAACGCAGAGGGAAGGTTTTCTTTCTTTCTTCCTTTCTTCCCCTCTCCACACACCTCCCTTCAATGAAATGTTTAAATGCCTTGTCAAAACAGAAGAAACAAAAAAGTGACACTTGATGAAAGATTAAGGAAAAGGGGGCAGAGTAACAAAGCTTGATAGGCAGGCAATTAAAATACAAGTGAAGGATTGTTAGTATTCATTACCAAAAACCATAGGTAGGGAGGACTGTGCAGCTGCTGGAAATCCCCAATATCTGGCTACAGAGAAGTTACTCCAAAACAAAATGACTTGCTCTTTTTTTCTTGGTGAAGTTTCTACTGATAGATGAGTAAATTAGCTGCTTTTGTTGCCCCTTCACTTTCCAAGTCATATCTGGAAGAAAGACCATTTGAAATGAGGTACAACCGGGTTCCTAGCAAGGCAGCTGTTGCTTTTAGGAAACTGAGAGAGCTAATGGCTCCCAGCAATAGTGACATGTCACCATTGGAGCAAAGACCAGTGATCCTGGAGGTGCTGGATAGAAGGTTTGGGAAGAGTCATAAAAGGAACATGGGACTTATGTCTCCATGGTCCCAGCTTATCTCTCTCTCTTCTCTAACAAAGAAAATTCTTACTAAAAAGGAAAGAACAGAATGAAGGAATGCACAAACTGGTAAGGGAGAACCTTGTGCTCACACAGTTATTTCAGGGTTAAAGAAGGAAAACAAGCTTGGTAAGAAGCTAGGACTGAATCACAAAATGACCTCTGCGGCAAAGTTGCCCTCAAATGATTGCAGAGGTCAGAAATGAGTCCAACACTGCAGACAGAGACACAGTTCTGTGCTCAAATACTCTCTAGAGCAAGATGGAAAAAACCTAGGACATCTGAATCACTTCTTTTAGAGGGAAGAAAACCAAATCAGGACTGTTTCTCAAGCACAGCTGACGTAGTTGAAATGCTGTTTTGGGCTTCTCTGAGGGACAAACCAAAACAGCTGATTCCATATCCCTGTATTTGAAAGAGAAGGAAAGAAAGAATTTGTTTTTACCTGAATAGCCACACAGGCATAAAGGGAAGAGAAAAGGAATTTCTGCATAGGATCATCTTTATCTATAGGACAGAAACATCAACCTTCCTAGCACCTATTTAAATTACACAAATACATTTATCAAACAGCAAGTTGAAAATTGCATTCAGCACAGAATAATAAAAGCACAATTATGCATGTGGGAGAGAAAAACGAGCCAGAAGACTCTGGGAAGTCTCTCCTGATAGAGGGTAACTTGGAGCCCTAAGCAAGCACTAAGAGCCACAAACCAGCTGAGCAAATTACCCCAGCTGCATGTAGGCAGCTTCTCGGCAGGCATATATCAGCTTGGCTCCCTAAGCCCCAATTGGGGTGATGGAGTTTCACCTGCTTTGAGCTATACCTGATCTGCTTTGCTGACTGCCACAATGACAGCCTCCTTTCTACTGCTAAAAGGGAAATAAAAACATCTGTTTCAAGTTATCTTTCCGTCAAGAAGAATGAGTTAGAGCCGGTCTCATGGAAGAGGGTATAGGTGGGACTGGGAGTAGCACAGTTTTCTGGTTTCCCACAAGAGAAGCTAGTTTTCTTCAAGTTATTCCCATGCTTCTAAGGTTCTGCATATGTTTCCTTCATATCACTGACTCATTAAACTCCTGGTTCTGATAAGACCTGGTTTGACATTTGTGTGTGGTGATGACAGCAACCGTGAATGAGCCCTGGGCTGAACCCTGGGTTCAGTAACTGAACGATTCTGCCCACAGCAATAGTGCCACGCTCCTTTGTGCTAAGTGAGGCTCTTTCTCCAGGCTTTCCCTTTCATCACCCATTGCTGCCTCACGACTGGGCTGCTAAGACAATGTAAATACTCCCTTCTGCCATAGGAAAGGGTAACACAGGAAGCGCCTGCTTCTGAAGGCTGCGCTGCCAGGCCCAGCCTAACCCCTCACATGCCTGAGCTCTTCCTCATCTATGATTCTGGACTCTTTCAACCCAAGCATTGAATCATATCTGGGTAACTTCAGCCTCAGCACTTTCATGTTTGAGAATTTCTGATCTGGTAGATTAGGGGGATTATTTAGGGCTTGAGCCCAAATCAGTGATGTCACTGACAGGCAGAAAGGAGATGAAAACGACCCCTGGCTTTTCATCTTTCTGCTGCAAACACCACCTTTGTACTAGAACGTGTCTTATACGGTATTCAGATGGAATCACAGCCAGAGCTTGTTGGCCCAACTCCTGGAGCTGCCAGTTACAAAGCTAGGATCAAAACATATGTGCGGGGGGGGGGGCTGTGCGCACACTGTGTGTGTGTATTAACAGCCAGACGGATCCTTCTGCGCGCACGCTGCACTGTGCGGCTCTGCGTGCAGCCCAGCCCAGCCGCTACGGCTTCTATCTCATCCCTGTTCTGCCACTGAACCGAGCTGGTCCTTCCAGTCGGTAACGGGTCCAAGCCAAAAACAGAGTTCAACGCCATTCAGGAGAACAGATGGGCACAAAATGAAGTACCGAAAGAATGAAAGCACCGCTAACATCCTCCTAAATGCTGTAGTTTGCCAGGCCTGACACAAGTGCAGTAAAACACCCAATGCATTTTGCCCTACTTTTCCGGGCCTGCTGCAGAGCAGGTGCCAGGCAAAGCAACTGCTCTGCTTTCTGACTGGGGAGCGAGGAGGTCTGGAGACCATCACTTCACACTGTGCAGTTTGTTATCCTGTCAGTATCCATTCACTGCCTTCCTATTCAGCACTGAGGCATCTTTAAGCTTGGCTGTCCTTCTTGAGGCTCTGGTGCTCTGGAATGGTGCTAGAGAAATATGAAAACTCAGGTGGGTTTTTAAGAAAGGCCAGTATAGGCATGAAAAGCTTTATTTTGAATTGAATTTTCAAAGGAGCATGAATACATGGCGGCCACCTGTGTCTGTGAACTAGATACTTTATAGGTTCATGAAAGAAATATTTATCTTTGCATTTTCAATTGAGTTAGAGTTTTGAAACCGAAATATGGCTCACTACCCATTTCTTCAGGGAAACTTCTTTGTTATGTGTGCCTGATGCCCTAGGGAGCCAGCCTCTGACTTGCAGTCTACAGACTTAAAATAATAATGAAAAATAGACTTCGTGAGGGATAGAACTAAAACGATTCAGTTGAAAGAGGAGGTAGGACTTCACATAGCAGTTCTGGATGCTTCCCAATTGACATCAGCAGAGAACAGCTGCCCCAACAGCCAAGTGAGGAGCTCATGGGATGAGAGAGAAAATCAGGAATCAGAAGCAATGCACTGTATTCCTGGCGCAAAATTTCTGCAGATCTGTAGACCTTTGAGTACCACAAATATCTCTATCCACAAGGATTGAAACTTCTGCTCCGAAAGAGTGTTGGAAACCTTTGTTGACACTAGTAAATCACTTCACAAGCATGGGATGAAAGACTGCAGATGAGAGACAGGTTTTAGCACCATAACCAAAGTCAACACAAAGAATCTGCATTATTGTTCTTCTCCATTGATGCTTCTCTTCCACAGCATGTGGGGAGTTCCAGTCTGGGCCTTATTTGAAGGAGGATTTGGCTTACATGTTATATAAGCATCTGCAAGATAACTGGCAGGAATGCTGTATTTCAGGAGCAGCATGTAAGCACAGCTTTTCCAGGTTAGCAGAGCCTTAGAGACACTTCTTTTTTTCTTTTCCTTTTTCTTCTTCTTTTTTTTTTTTCTTCCAATATTTCAGAAGTCATGTTACAGTGCAAGTACAATCCAGCTGCAACTCAGCAGCAGCTGCGTAACCTTGCAGTGGCCTTGCCATTAGCTGCCTTTGCTTTAGATACAGGTGGCTTCAGGTGAGTCATGCTTCTAATTAATGCCTCAGCCTGTCTGAATGAAGCAGCGCTTTGAAGCTGGAGGCAAACAAATTGGTCCCTAGAGAAGAGAAGGATGTGTGGCAATGGTAGTTGCATCAGACAAACAATGTCATCAAAACAGCTAGGTCACTTCACCTCCCACAGCATGGGCTTTTGTGAAAGGAAACTGAAAAGAAAAGGAACCCCTGAGGACCAGAGACATGATACACCTGTGAGTGTGCATCATTAAAGCAGTGCCAGTGTGCTGCTAGAAAGAAGGCTTGATGAGGCTTTTCTCGTTGTGTACTTTGTCATTTAAAACTTCTGCCATTTCAAATCACATCAGGCTTAAGCGATACTAAATATACTGTAGCTCAAGTAAAAAGTGCAGGCAAAAGGGGAATGGCATCCCTTTAAATATTTTAAAATTGCAAAGCTGCCGAAAGATTCCTTAGATACTTGAAGGCCAGAATTAAAGCAAATACCCTTCCTCCTCTTTGCTTTGGTGCTTCTAGAGACAGCTGTGAGCAAGATCAGTTCACGAGGTTAGAGAGTGACCAGAGCTTGTGCTGGAAAGTGCAGTCAGTACAAACTTGTCTGATACTCCCTAGGTCCGGACTGAAAGTGCATTGTTTTTTCTCAGGTGGAGAGAAGATGTAATTTTCTGTATCTGCAATTTCTTATCAGTAAACTGGTCTTTTCCTTTTGTCCAATTTGACTGGAAACGCTTGAGAATAAGATCATTCTTAAATATGCACATCCTTGAGCGGGGTTGAATGCAGCAGTGTTCAGGTTAATCAACTGAATCAAGATATATTACAAATAACACAGTCACACTGAAGAATTTTCCCATGGAAGCTGGTTGGAATATCTGTCAGGAGGCAATGATAAGCTGTCCCCCAGCACTTCTGCCTCCTGCACGCTGTCAGCTTCGAATGGATTGTCCCCATCATGTGCAATCTGTCTCCTTCCTCTCATGTCTCTTGACATAGTACACTACGTATCAGCCACACAGCTGGACGAACTCTCCTTTAATGTTCACCTGATTAAGGTCTGACTAAGAGCAACAGACCTTAATTATATCCACTCAGTTGTCAGCTTTTCATTCCCAGCTGGGTCTGTCTGGCAGTAAACGTGGTGGTGTTTTGCCTAACCACAAGCAAAGATGCTGAGAGAAGGATGGCATCCTGCCAAGTGTTGTGATTCAAGGGCAATGTTTCTCCCCTCCCCTTGAAGAGCCCGGTGAGATCTGCATGTTGCTTGTGTCTCCAGGGATCTTGTTCTTTTCTCCTGGATGGCCAAGTCTTCCTCGCTCCGGTGTCATGTAGCAGCCACACGCTGCCTGCTTTTGTCTTTTGCTTGTAAAAGGTAGCATTTCACATGCCCCCCCGCCCCTTTTTTTTCTCCCTCAGGCTGCTGCTTTTCATTGGAATCATTTCACTTCAGGAAGTTCTGCTGCAGATCCAGAGAATAACCTATTGCTACACTTTGTGGAGCTTCCTGCGTTATACTTTCTGCCTCTTTGTTATCTCAGGCTGGATAGTCTTTAAAAAAAAACCTTGTAACACAACCTCTTCTGACCCACAAGCTTCTATCTAATATAGGTTTTCCACAATTTTTCTTAAGGAATTTTTCTGTTTTTCTTGAGGCAAATCCAAAGGATGATGGTTTTACCTGACTGCCCTCTTGTAATGGAAGCTGCCTGTCAGCACTCCAGCTTATCCTTGCAGTAAATGCATATCTGGATTTTTGCTTTACGTTTTCACCCCAAATACCTCGTTGCTAAAAATATCAAATTTCTTCACTTTGAATGCAAGAGGCAGTAAATTCCAAGTGGAAAAAAATGAAGCCAGTACACTTTTTCCTGAGGTGTTAGAGAGATGCTTTGTTTTCCAAAACAGCTGTGCTATCTCTGTGAAGAAATTTACCAACCTTCACAAAGATTTTCCCTCTTAGATTTGTGAAAGAAAACAGTGAACCATTCAGCCATGGTGTCCTCCTTTGTACTGTGTAAACTATGGACAAAGTTACAGAGGTATGTAAGCATCTATAAATCCGACACTCTGGCAGAAAGCGGCAGCAAGAATGGCTGAACACCTCAGCCAGATGACCTTTAGAGATGTCTAAAGGGAAAACATCCATCTCTTCCCCAAAAAACTTAACAAAAAATAAAGCTAGTTCTCAGAGGTTTTCCGACAGTCTTCAAAAGCTTCCCTGCCACTGTGGAGATCACATTTTAAATCAGACCAGGCTTGTTCCTTGACACAAACCTTTTTAAGTTACATCTTTGGATGATCTGTTTTTTTCCATTGCCACAATAATGATGTTGCTCCGAATGATGTTGTTGATACCTAGAGACTCCTTTAGC